GGCAGGTCCTGGTGCTGGTGACGAAGCTGCGCCTGCAAGGGAAGCAGTGGCAATCAGTCCCGGATGGGGCTGCCCCAAGGGCGCTGGGTGCTGTGAGGGGCCAGCCCAGCCCCGATCCCACAGCTCGGGGGGCTCCTCTCTGGGCTGGGCTCCGAAATGTCCTCCAAAACTCAGCTCCTCCTCAGCCGCCTGCAGAGCTGGAGTCAGGGCTGGCAACACAGGCGCACACGGGGACCTCAGCATCGGCCATCAGGGCATCCATGTGGGGGCTGCCCCAAGGGCGCTGGGTGCTGTGAGGGGCCAGCCCAGCCCCGATCCCACAGCTCGGGGGGCTCCTCTCTGGGCTGGGCTCCGAAATGTCCTCCAAAACTCAGCTCCTCCTCAGCCGCCTGCAGAGCTGGAGTCAGGGCTGGCAACACAGGCGCACACGGGGACCTCAGCATCGGCCATCAGGGCATCCATGTGCCAACCACGCAGCCCCAGACGGGGTCCGGGGAAGCCCAGTGATCCCCTCCCTGTCTGCTGTTTCTCAGATGGGCTGGTGAGCTCCCGCCGTCCTTTCGGGGCTGGTACTGGCTCTGGTGCCTGGGAATTGTTTGCTGCCTGTGCTGTTGTGCCACAGGCCCTGTTTCTGGTGGCCACCTCCTCGTGCTGCAGGAGAAGATGGGTTCCTTATGCCTGAGCATTCATTTGCTCTGCTGATCGACAGCCTGCGGTCTGGCTGAGCAACCCCAATTGTTCCCAGTGTGCCTGGACAAAGAAGTGCCTAGAGAGATGGCAGGGCTGAGGAGGAGAGGACATGCTAGGAATATTTCCACTGCCTTGGACACCACCATTCCCCCCCTCCCCACAAGAATGGGAGGCAGCAGCCCAGTTTCACAGGCGGGGTGGGGATGCCTCCCCACCCAAGCAGGGTGGGCACAGGAGGAGCTGGTCCCAAGGCAGGCTGAGGGCTCGTTCCTGGGGAACGGCACGGTGCTGTGCTGAGCTGAGCACCGCACTCGCCCGTCTGCTCCTGTTAAGGGCCGCTACCCCATGCACGGGCTGTGGGAGCCCCAGGGAGCCCCAAGCACCCCAGCAGGTCCCTGTCAGTGTGGGGTGAGGAGGGGCAGGACTGGCTTCATCACCCAGGCTGCTCTGTGCGGGATGAAGACCATCATGGAGGCAATGCCTTTTCCTTTCCCCCAAGGCTGGGGTTCAGCTGGGCCAGGCACAACGCTGCACCCTCGCTGCAAAGCTGCAGGCTCTGCCTTGGCACGGGGCTGGCCTCTGGGCTGCTCTTAGGGCAGTTGCCTGCTGGTTCTTCTCCCCATCTTGTCTCACCTGCCACGGCTCATTCCCAGCTGTTGGCCAGCCCTGAGATTTGTTGCCCTATTCTGCAAACAGGAAAGCTGGGATAGGGATAGAGACCAAACTTGCAAAAGCCCTTGGCATGGAGCAGCTCCCAGTGAGGTCTGCGAAAGCAGCGGCTTCCCGCGGGAGCTCTGGCTTCCCATGCAAGCTGCTCAAGGTCAGGCAGAGCAGGCAGTGAGCCCCGGTTCCTTCCTTCCCCGCCAGCCCGCAGGCTCGAGGCTGGACTGGAAGCAGAGCCTGCGTCTGCTCCACCCCCTCCGAGCAGGGGGAGGGCAGCGGGCACCACCGAGGCTTTTGTTCTCTGGGCTCGGCGGGCTCTGGCATCGGCATTTCCAGTGGGGAGAAGATGCTGCATACAAAAACATCCCGGCTCCCTCGGTCATTAGCATCTGCCACGGCTGAGAATCACAACTGCATTGAACTGGTGCCGGGAAGCGACAGAGCCTGCAAGCGCGGCCCCCGTCTCCCGGCTGCTCCGGTGCGGTTTTGCCGGAGGCTGGCAGGGATGAGTGTGTGGGATGCCTGGGAGCTGGGGACCCCTTGCAGCCTGGCTCTGGGGACCACTCTGCTGTCTCCCCTGGGTTCTGGGGAGACTGCCCAGCAGCCGGGGTGCAATAAGGTGGTCCCTGAGGTGGCAGAGGGTTCCCCCCTGCAGCGAGGGGGCTGCACAAG